TGCTGGGCCCTTTGAGGTGAGCCAGTTAGGGACCCCGAGGCCATTGGTTGAGGGGGCGCAGGCGCCTGCCAATGCTGGAGGCACAGCCCCGTCAGTCCAGCACTTTGTCGGGACAAGTGGCGGGATGATGGCCACCCCCGCCCGCCGACTATGTTGATGAGGCAGCGCAGGACCTCGATTACAGCAGTGCCTGGACCATCGACCTCTACGCCATCGAGCCGCAGTGCCCGTCAGCACAGAAGCCAAATGAAGCCAATTTGCCCGCTGGGGCGCCGAGTAGGTACAATCTGCGGGGGTATCGTCGGGCAAACTCCCGACGTCGTTGTCCTCCAGGGTCCCCCATGCTTTAAAAATCGAGGACTGACCTCCAGTCAGTCAGTGGACGAGCGAGCAGGGAGCGATATGACGTCATGCCCATCAGCAGCAACTCGTAGCTGAGGTGACCTCGGGGTGTAAGTCCTCTGTTTTCCGAGTGGGGCAAAATAGAGGACCCGTCAGTGCTGCAGTGGCAGCTAGAGCGAGTATGCGTGCACATTAGAGCGGTGAAGCGGGAACTAGAGCGCGTGTGCTTTCTTGTTAGGATTGTAACAGGCGTTGTTGCATGGAGAAGCTGTGCCATCTTGATTTCATCCAAACGTAAAAGCCAAACTGGTCCTCCGTAACATTACTCTGGCTGGATTTGGAGGCACAGTTTGGGTTGCTTATTTGCTTACTTACTCGGATGGATTGGGTTTTTTATGGGCTTGTCGCGGCCGGGCAGGGCAAATCCGGGCCAGGCGGGGCCAGGCCGGGCGGGCCGGGCTGGCCCAGAGCGAACAAGGCTCCACACTCCCGACACAAGCAAAGTCCTCGGCCGTCTTCCAGGGCCATTGCGGTGCTCTGGTCGTGGGAGACCGACGAAGATTGCAAGCGTGTCCCGTCAGGGCACATGCCAAAGAATTCGCCACTGGGGCGATGCTCTCAGCTCTGACCCGACAGTGCCCGGATGACATGTTAGGAGTCCCCGGGCACGGACTTCAGCCAAAGCAGGTCCCTCAAGCCAGGCCTAACAGGTAGATAAGGCTGCAAGTTGCAAGTTTCGTCAGTGGCTCAATTGGTTCCAGTCCTTCCGATCAGCACTGCAGCGTCAGCACATCGACGAGTTTCAGTCCTGGTTTAAAGTGTCAGGACGTTTGCCGCCAGGTAGTAATTGGGACACACGTCAAGACGCTAAGTACAGTCGCCCGCTGACCCGTGAGCAGTTTTGTTCCCTGAACTGCGAGCACCATAACGCAGCACGGGCCATCAGACCTCACCACACTCCGAGGCCATGCTGTCAGAACCGGCCAAGGAGCAGGAGAACCAGGGCTCGTCCGTGCACAAGGAAGTGGAGGAGGACGCCGAAGCCTTTGGTTCAAGATCCTTCCCGGAGGTCAACAGGACAAAGTGCGCCGCGCAGACGACAGGTCTTGCCACAATAGCACGGGTTTCGTCACAGACTGTCTTCCCTACTCTGGAACCCAAACGGTGTTGAACCTTGTCTGGTCAGCAGCACAATTGACAATATGGCGATCCCACGTCAGCTGCTCTGGATAACGATGGGGCGTATTGGGCACCTCCCGTCAGAGCACCAGAAGAGTGTTACGTGTTCGTACCGGCGAACAACAACACCAGGTGTTCCGGCAATTGGTCCTCCCGTTCGGAGCAACACGGAGTGTATGGAGCTACCTTCGGTAGCTAACATTATCGCTTTCTTGATTTTGGCACTGGTCTTTATCCCGGCAGCCCGTTGTGTGGATGATTACTTTAAAGTCAGCCCTCCCGCACGCGCACATCAGCTTTCACCTCGTTCTGTGCACCAATCCTTGTTAGCATTCCAGATGAAGGAGTCGAAGGCGCAGAAGCCCGCTACCCCATTTTGGACCCGGATAGTCATGGCAGGTCCCAGCTCCAGCAGGATCGAGAATCTGTCAGAGCTCATTACCAGCGCACTGTCCCCCGACGAGGCCGCGCACCTCGCTGGGAAGTGGAACTTTGTGTGTTCAGCTCGTGTCAAAGCTCATTGAGCAGTCAGTGAAACCCGACGCGTTCCTGTTCGAAAAGCTGGTCATCCTTTTAGCGTTGCAGCCGGTTGACCAGTGAGCCGCGCGTGAGGGTGGTCGGTTCCGTGCGGAAGTGGCCGTGCAGCGGACCGACCTGTTCGGTTTTGAAGGGAAGTCAGGGGTCTGGGACGTCTGACTTCAACACTCCGCGGGTAGGAAAAGTCCGAACGCCCGTTCGCCTGTTGGCTTAGAGCTGTGTGAGTGAGACTTGTCGGGGAGTGCACATGTGCGCACGTTGTGACAAGTCGGGCACAACGCGAACTTCACCTGTAAGCAGCTGTGCCTCTCGAAGTTTTTTGTTAGCAGTTAGCATCGTACACATGCACCCGGAGGCAGTGCAACGGACCGACCTGTTCGCCTTTAAAAGCCTACAGCAGGGTCTGCGACCTCTGACCGCAACACTCCACGGGTAGTGGAAAAGTCCAAACGCTTGTTCGCCTGTAAGCTTAGAGTTGTGTGAGTGAGACGTGTCTTGCTAAACCAATTCGGCAGCTGTCCTCGACGATCTGCAGCTGCACATGAGTGTTACCTTTCCAAGCTTGTGGGCTCAGGAGATCGTACACTATCTGAGCACGCTTGAAGTTGACGTTCATGATGCCCGTATGCTTTTCCAGCTTTTGGACGATGGGGATGGGCATCTCTCAATCCAGGAGAAAAGAGAAGTCCAAGACCGTTTAGCATATCGTTCTCTTTCTTGGCATTCAGCCGTAGGCTCCTTTCAAGTCGCTGCTGGCATCCAGCCCATGCATTGCCCAACACGCTTTTTATGTCGCGACCTCGCAGGAGTTTTGCGAAGGCATTCCGAAAGTTCGAGGGAACGCTAAATCCCTTGACATCGTGCCTTGCTTCAATTTGAGCATGGGGCTTTCGGGGTTCGCACGCAGGATGTCGGAGTGGCAACCACGCATCAGGTCTGCCTTTTACACGAGACTGGACGGATTCGCAAGGAATGTCAGGAAATCTTGGCAGCAGTTCAAGCGAAGAGCTGAGACAGCCAGGAGCTGCAGATGTTCGATTTGGTGCCATTTGGTGCCGTCTCCGAAAACCGGATTGCCATTTGCAGTCACGCAAAACGCGAAGACTGCTCCTAACAAACTTTTGTTACTGTTCCGCGAGTGTCTCGCAAGATTTCTCGGACTTGTCTCGGATGATTTCCAAAGCATGCCGTGTGCTGCAAGCGCACATTCCAGGCAAGCCGCCCTCTCAAGGGTTGACCCTTGCTTGCGCAGAAGATGGCTTGCGCTACGGGAGGAATTCGCGTGAAAAGGAGACGCGGCTGACTCTCGACGCTGGTTGAGATTCTGACTGATTCGCCGACGCCTCCCAATGCCTCTCATATGCAAGGTTGAAAGTGGTTGCGAGCAGCTTGCACAAAACCCCCTTAGGCAGAATGCAGACTTCGCCGCAATAAACAGATGCAACGAAGGAACAAGAATGAGGGTGAAAAAGAGAGGGCGCGAGAGCGACAAGACAGAGAGAGAGAGCGAGCTGGCGTAGCGCTCGCACGCAGGGGGTGCAGGGACCTGTGCCTTGCCTCCCACACGCCTTGCAAGCAAGCAAGCAAGCAAGAGCCGGTAATACAAGTTGAAAGAAGGATCACGAGACACACAGTCATGATGGCCATCCTGTAGTTGCCTACTGCCTATCCGAAGAACCGGAACATTCAGATTTAAAGGTCAAAGGTCCCCACTGCAGAGTGAAGTGCAGCTTGGGATTTGTCATTAGCGTTCGTGTGGATTGCGGGTACTTCTCGCAGGAGAAGGCCTTCGAGACTTTGAAGTGGTACTTCGATGATGCAATTCGGACGTTTACACTAAAACGAGAGTCTGTGCCCGGAGAACTGACGGAGAAACCCATCAGTGCTGCAGTTTCGGCATCAAGATTTTCCCGCAACAAATGATATTTGGCTTTTCGGTATCATGACCCAGCCCACGATGTGCAGCCGAGTCTATTCGAGGCTTTCGGATGAGTCCGGATGGCGCCATCATCAAAGTGTGCACGTTTCATTGCAACTGTGCTCGCTCCCATAAATTCGACTCGCTGCCAGGGCAATCAATGGGTTTAACCTGTTGGGCCTGTTACCGCCACAGCCGAAGCAGTCTTGACAGAGTGGTCACTGCTGGTAGAACGAACGCAACGTTATCTAGGATTGTCGTGGAAGCTAGAAGCAACTCTACCTGTCTAGCTAGCCCCCACTGACAGCATCGTTGGAACCTTCAGGTCCCAGGCACCTAGCATTTGTTGAGTCTCAGCTGAGTTCGAAGGGGATGCCCACGGAACAAACACAATCATGTCACCAACGACCAAAGCATATCCAAAGCATCTTCGCGCTTTCAAGAGCATGCCAAGAGCTTGACAGTGTTTCGGCATTTATTGCTGCGCTGCAAGCGATGCCCGCACGATGGTAACCGGAACTGGAGATGCCTCCAGATCCACGCCGTCGGGGCCTTTCGGATATCTTTGACGCTTCATTCCCACTTCCCTGCTTTTCAACAGTTTGTCCGAGCCGACGGTCTAGGAGCACTCCATTGCTGCAGTCGGAGGCCCATGCGCTTCACCAGAGGCCAGATGTGTACGCTTCTGTTAGATGCATGCGGGTTGCCTTCCTCACCTCGCCCAAATCTTGACAATGACGAGATGAGATGTGATGTTGCGGTGATGCCCGGGATGTCCCTTCAATCGAACCAGTCCGTACGGAACATGCATGCATAGCAGGTTGCAATGTAGATGCTTCCTTGTGGGTAGACAGCCTGCGGCCGCCTTTTCATTGCTAACTTGATTTCTACAAGTGGCCAGGCGTTCGGCTTTACGGGGGTGGCTCGTGGCTCACTCCTGAACCGTTATCCTCTTTCCCGGCAAGGCTTGACGTGCTGCAGCGGGAGGTGCAGACCTCCGTCAGGGACCTGCCAATCGCAAAACATGCCAAAGTGCCGACAGGTGGCCTGCTGTCGCGAGGAGGCAACAGCTCTGCGGGAGTATCTCACGGAGGTGCCTGCAGTTCGGAACACTCAATAGGGGACCATGCACCTCGGTTTGCGTGTTCAGATGATCGTGGTAGGTTGGCGCCCTGAGCGTTGCTGAGAACTCGGCAGTCAACAAAGCAACAGTCATGTCAGAATGACCGATGCGATGGCGCATGCCCTTTGAAGGAACGTTCAGGCTGGAGAGTCGAGACACATGATAGAAGCATTCAATCAGAGGGCCCCAGCTGCTGAACTGCTAGCCGCCCTGTGATGCAAAAATAGACAGCGAACAGGTCTGACTCTGCAAAAGCTAGCAGCTAGGACCGGACAAGACACAGGGCAAGTCACAAGTCCCTTCCGATGGAACTGAGCCATGACATGCCTGTAGCTGCGCCTTCGAAAACGTACCCAAGCTGGCTCAATGCAGATCCTCTGCCACCTCTGGAGCCCGAGGATGTGGTGTGAGGGCGGGATCTGCAACAAGAGGGCCCTCCCCTTCCTTTTAAAAGGTAGTCCCGTTGCGCCAAAGCCCTTCGCAGGATGGCGTGTACAAGCTTCCATCGCAGCTAGCCGCCGGCGCGGAGGTCGAGGAGGATAGGCTCGTGTGATCGGAAGTGGTAGTTCTGGATCATCGAAGCAGATCTGCCGTCATACGACATGCAAACCTCAGCACAATGAAGACCCTGTTCTGAGGAGCTGTTAATGATGGCCCGGGCGGTGTGGCGGGCTCGTCGGAGAATTTTTGATGAGGCTCCATCGGAGATAGCTGATGTTGTGCAATTCTCTGCTGCATTGTCCAGCAAGACGTCTGTGTTTCGCTCCGCGCACAGGCATCCTGCTAGTTGCGGCACGCTCCCTGTTTTTACTACCTTCTTCATGACAGGCTGGGCGCAGCAGCGGCATGGCTGGTGCGATCGCTGCGGAGGCAGACACAGCAGCTTCGTTGCTGCCAAAGGCGCTGGAAGCATACAGGCAGGTTGCTGGAGGGGCTAGAGGGGCAATACCAGGCAGGGCTTGGGTCACCCAGCAACTCTCAGCGCAGTCACGCTTCTCTGGCACCAACAATCCAAAAGATGTGACACGAGCTGGAGCTCGGAGTAAACTGCAATTCTTTGTCTCTTGTCTTTCTGGCATACATGGGCGCTGGCAGACTGTGGTCACATTGAGAGCGATGTGTGTAGAGTGCAGGCTGGCGACGTCAGCCTCCGACCTGAGCCCAGCTGGTTCCTCCATTCGTGCGGTGCTCTCCTGGCAGCCTGGCGCGACTGAGAGCGAGCGCGAGCGCGAGAGCATGGCAGAGCAGAAATCTGAGTATCAGGTACAATCACTCCGTACGTTTGGCCGTCGACAAGAAGACCTGGCCAAGGCCGGGGTCGGGCCGGGGGCAGCTGCAGTAGGCGCTAGGGGTCCGAAAGGCCGAAGCTTCTGTTGCCCAGGAAGGATCTATCGGCTTTGGCCATAAAGCTGGGGGCACCCATGCCACTGGGACTACTTCAGACATATAAGCTGCACTTTATGCTTTATGCAGAAGTTGTTCTTTCTTTTTCTGCTGGTGGTGCCCTTCGGTACAGGCTGCCCCCTGCGACGCCCTGTGAGTTTGTGGAGGATGTGGCTTTGTCCTGTTCCGTTTCACTTCCACAAATGGCGTCGAATGCCCTACACGCGAAGAGACAAGGAGCCATTGTGCTGGTGGGCCTTCGGGCAGCACAGCAGAGATCCTGTGCCTGGGTCCGAATGCAAAGGGATTTCCTGTGCTGTTCGCCTTCGCCTAAATTCTCCATCAAAGCGTCCAACTACCTGGCTACCTTTGCTGTTTGCCCGGGAGTCTAAGTGTCTAAGGCTTTCCATGTGGCTTTCGGACGCAGAACCTGCCTTGTCATCGCATCATGTACCCTGCTGAGTAGCCCCGTGCATGCGGATGAGGCAACAGAGCTCGCAGAGGGAAATGTGCTCACAGATTCTGTTTCGCATGTGGACCAAACCCGTGTTGTACATGCACACGGCGCCCACTCCTGAATCCTGCGAGCGTGGAGATGTGCATTGCATTTGTCTCCCCAAAGATCGAAAACGAAGGTGTCACGGAACAGACATGCAGAGCAAGAGAACCATCGCCGCCAGCGAGCAGTATGAACACGGATGAAAGTAATTTTAAGCCCGCCTCAGCTCTTTAGCAGCAGGGCGCAGCGGGTTTGAAGCAAGGGCCGAAGAGCCAGGATGCACAGAGGGGGGGGGTGGGGAAGGGGAGGGGCGTGGGAGGGGGAGGAGGGGCAGGAAAACGAGAAAATCAGAAAAAGCAGTCTACAAATCAGGTAAAATGAAGGGAAGCCGGGCAAGGAGGTGGCAAATGCACGCAAAAAACGGGTGTCTCCAAACTTTCGGACGAGGATTAGGTGGAGGGTACCTGAGGAATCCCCAAGACGCCTGGGCCTGTGGCCTGCGGATACAGGTCGATACAGGTGTTCAGGCTCCAGCAGACACGCGTCAATGCCTCGATTTAAGAATCTCGCTCCGTGCCTCAGCATCCAGACGCTGGCTGAGAATCGAGCAGTGGTCGGCAGAACTGCGGTCTCTTTTTCACGCTAGACAGGAGTCGCACTGCAACAATCGAGAACGCACATTTGCGGACGTCGGCATCATAGGAAACAGCAGGTGGCACGAGGACTGCATGAAGAGTGTCCCAATGCGGAACAGCCTGGGAAAGCAAACCACGCACAAAAAAGACAACAGATAGCATGTATTTGGCCAGTCATCGCATGCTAGCGATATAAATGTTATAGCATGAAGATCATGAAGACATGAGATGGCCGCCGAAGGTCAAGTGACCGTAGAATCCGTTTTCTCCGAAGTCTTCTCCCATCAATAGATTACGTGGCACAACTGTTTAGAACGTGGGGTCGTGGAGTTCGAGGGCTTCTCCCTTCAAACGCTGCACCTCCCGAAGTCAAAGGATGTGTTCGGCTTCTTAGTGTGCTTCTGCTTCTGCCGCTTTGGTCTACATCGACAGGACATAGAGAAGTGTCACTGCTAGAGAAGTTTCCGTTATGCGATTTGGGATCCTGTCAGTGTGGCAAGACTGCGGGCATTAGACGAAAAAACGAGGACTGGCTTGGCCACGGTTATTTCTGGAGGCAGATACCACAGCAACTCTCGCCGGGCTTCCGGCTTGAAAACGCTGCTGGAAACGTGTCCCAGCTGATGATAATTATGATCTCTGGCTCATATAGGGCTCTAGGCTTGATGTCAAGCCAAGGCTATGAACGATTTCGACTGCCTCGAAGGCGGCTTCTGCCGTCTTGACGGCAAAGTCTTGGCCGCAGACTACTCACTTCTATGGTCCCACTTCCCAGACTTGCAAGGCAGCCCATTCGCACAGTGCGAGCACTCGAGTCGTGTTTGTGCGGGCTTTGGGGAGACGGCTGCGAGGCAAGTCGAACGCCGAAGTGGATGCATGGCTCCTGGAGGAGATGGCACTTGCGTGGTCGGGTTCAGCAAATCTCGGCAGGGTGCAGTCTACTCAGAAGCTTCTGTGTGTAACATGGGGTGACGATGGTTCGATGCGGGATGGATCGCGCTGAACATCAGACGAATCATTGAGCGTCGTCTTGCCCGATCTGCTGACAGCACCGGCGTACGACAGTCCGAGCTCGCTGATCATGCCCCACGGTGATGCTGCTTCCCGAAGGCTGCGCTCATCCAAGACGTCGATGCAGCCCACTGTAATAAGCCGTCAGTCGTTGGACCCCAATGATCCCGATGCAGCAATGCAGGCCAACGCCAGGAGTTTGCATTCATTATAAATTTAGTCATATCACGCAGAAGTTGCAGAAATCGGAAGCCCGGCTGCTTCTCCAAGCGAATCCCGCCAGGAAGCAGCTTGGCTTTCGAAAGGGCAAGCTGAGCGGTTGGATGAGGGCGGAGATCACCACCACCTGATCTCTTCAAAAGGCTGCGTGCCTTTGTGCGAGTGCAGCTAGCCAAGTGGATCCAAGTGCTGCAGTGACTGAGTTCCAAAGTTGGTGCTTGTGCAATCAAATCTCTGCAGGGATCCTGGGCCTGGGCGGCTCTCGCTCTGCTCTGCGAGCTCCCTGGCAGCCTGGCAGCTCGAAGTTTCACAAAGTCGACAGCAGCAGCAAGCTTGCAGGTGCGAAGTGGTGGGCGCGCAGCCACTTTTCTGGTGGCCGATCGTTATGGTCAGACACCCAGCAGAGGGCTGTGAGCCGGCAGCACCATTTGCATCAGTCAGCCCAGTTCTGCCTTTGAAATTTGCTCTGTGTCTCAGGCATTGACGAGCAGGGCAACTTTCGAGCTGACATGCTGGATGTGAAGGGCATCGGCACCTTGCCTGCAGGTGACACACCCCATGCACGTCGGTCGCGGTGAAACTAACGCCACTCATGTTGACCGCCCGAATCGAGGTGAAGCATGAAGCATCATGAAGCACCTCTTGCCTTGCCAGGTACGCATGTGATGGCCGACATCTCCTCGGAGAAGGTGACAGGTTTGCTCGGCCTCGCGGATGCATTGAGGCTCGGGGAACTGGGGGCCCAGTCTTTGGGTTCATGCGAGCTGCTGCGTTGTTTGAACCATGCAGTTCGGAGTTATCCTTCAGCGCGCTGAGATGAATGTTACAAGGAAAGGCAGCATGAGCCTGAGTGAGAGTTTCCATGTGATACTTCTGAGGTAGCCAGGAAGGAGTGCAGACCTAGGAATGCTGACAAGAACAATCAGGCACTTTGTGGTGAAAGGGGGAACAATGTTCGTTTCTCACCCCCCATATTGTGCGGGTGGGCTCGAAGCCCGGGGGTCTTGACCGACCCCCCATGCCCGGGAGAGAGAGAGAGAGAGAGAAACAGCGGACGCGCCGGAGCAAGGGTACTTCCCTTGCTTCTACCCTCCCGAAAGAAAGACAGAGAGAGAGCGAGAGAAAGAGTTCCTGCCGTAGTCAGGAAAGACCCCGTTGCCAGCCACTCCATAATACAGGGGGTGAGCTGGGCGGGCCTAAGGCCTGGGGGGCGCGCGCGACCCCTACTCCCTGCAGAAAGAAAGAAAGAGTGAGTTTAAGCCTGCTGAAAGAAAAGAGAGACTGATTTTTGAAGCTCCAAGCACAGATTTT